GGGACGAGCAGCAGGAAGACACGAGGGACGAGCAGACGGAGAATGGAGGAGGTGATGAGCAGAAAAACCTGTGGGAAGAAAACTGAGCTAGAGGCTGTAACTCTGAATAAATCTGCTGAGTCAGCTTCACCGAGGCTCTGACGGGTTCCTCGCAGCCACAGGGTCACACTCTGTGTTTCAGTTTGCATGAGAATAAAACACGAGAGACACAAACGCAGAGACGAACAAAATACTTCAACTTCAAGAACTGAGGAAAAATAAATAGAAAACTTCTCTGAACGAGTTTCAAAGCTTCAACAATAGTTCATTAATATTTTTAATTTAATCTTTTCAAGCTTTTATCAAGCAAATCAAAAACGTAATGAACGATAAAAAACATCAGAGGAATTTGTGCCTCTTTGTAAATGTGACGTCTGATTCACTGAAAGACTTTCAGCTCTGGAAAAGTTTTGACATTTTTACCGATTGAATTTAATATTTTTGAGATGTTTAATCACAAAGAATCACGCTTGATCAACATTGAACGTTAAAGAGGGATTCAGTCTTAAACTGACAGTGAAATGATTTATTGCTGCTGAGAACATAAGCAGGTAACTCCATCTTTTCTCTTTATTACTTCGTTATCACTGAAGCATGAACCAGAAGCTGAAGACTGAATGTTTTAAAGTATCTCACAATGTTTTACTGCAGTTTTCTGCTCCTTCCACTCAGTGTTTGTGTTTTCTTCTGTGTGTCGTCACATGTTCCTTGAATTAAAAACACTAACTTGGATCTACAGGTTTTAAGTTTGTGCCAGAAATGTTTCTCTTTACTTTACTGAGTGGATCAAGAGAGCGTTCAGTCGGAGTCTCTCACTCCAGACCTGGTGTTTCAAGTCTAAATAAAACTTCACTGAGTAAAACCATCTGTCTACGACCTCGACTGTCCTCACAGATCACCTTCATCTTTCTCTCCTGCGCACTTTATTTCATCTTTAACTCGTTTGTTGTGTTGAGTGGGGGTCGGAGGTCGGCTGTACTGTACCTCGGGGCTCTTGCGATTCTGCAGGATCTGCTTGTCTGTGTCTTTGGAAGCGAAGAAGCGAGTACATCCTCTGTTCAGGTACTGCAAGAACACACAGAGACGGAGAGAGGAACATCAGCACGGCTGCAGAGAACAGAGAGAACTTCAACTTTACTTACAGGACTAAAAACAGAGAACGTTCTCTGAAGGGAGGGCTAACATGGCTGCAAAGAAAATGGAGAACGTCAGAGAGACATAACAGAGATCAGTGGAGAGCGTGAAGTGGTTTATGGACTGTTCAGCTAATGATAAGGATTTAATTAACGAGTGATTACAATTCAATAACAGCTGAGATCATTTAGAAACAAACACGTGAAGCTTCAATAAAAGGTCTTCGAAGAGACAGAGAGTTCCCAGGTTCAGTTTCCTGAGAGGAGTCCCTCAGTGCACGAGTTGCTCTTCACGAAAACCATCCTGACAGTCAACGAGTGTCATCGAGCAAAAAGCTAAACACTCATCTGTCAAGTAAACTAATCTGAGATGGGAGGAGCTTCAAACGGTCGAAAGGGAGAATCGAGACGATCCATCGAGCGCCTGATGAGAAGAGACGTCAAGTCAACGACCACAAAATGACCCGTGAAGGTAGAACTGCAGTTTGAGAGTCAGAGACCCCCCCCCCCCCCCCCCCCCCCCCCGTCCCACTGTAATTGATCCTGTACCTGTGTTAATGCTTCTCACCAGCTGCCCTCCTCTGTTCGATGCACGGACACAAGCTAATGACGACTCACAAATTTCCCAGGTGTCTCAGGGAGGGAAGGCAAACGACTGATTCGAGCCGCTGCTTATCTTGTTTGGCGAGTCGAGTCCATTTGGCCCAGCAGATGGACATAAACTAAATTTCTCATTAAAGGAGAAGCTGCAGGAGGGACTCGGTGCTTGTTCCGTCCTGCGTCTCCTCCGTCCCCTGCCGATGGGAAACATTTGCTCTTTTGTGTATTTTTCCGGCTCCTCTGAAAATGTCTGGTTCAGACGACACAACATCGGCCCGACGACGTCCGACAGCATGAAACAGACGAGTGAAGACTGAAAATGAGCTTCAGGTACAACAATGTTTTATCTGTCTGTCGTCTCCTCCGGTTGGATATGTCCCATCACGTCCAACGACAGCATCAGAGTTTGAACAGTACTGTGGTCGACACTGATCGACCACCAGGAGCCAAGTGATTTTCAATAGTGAGGACGTTTACTGTGTTTACTTCTCCATTGTGTTTTTTAATACTTTCACTGCACCTCTGCATATTCACAAACTACATGATACTTCAACTATCTGTTGCTTCACTCCTTCAGGTCTCATCTCTGCTCCTGGCACCAACAAACCCTCCGTCAGTGTGGAGCTGGATCCTGGACGGCTCTTCGGAGAGAGCTCACTGAATCTCTCCGTTCTTTCTCCACCAGCAGGGAAACTGTTGATGTATGAAGCCGTGAGAAGCTGCTGAAGCGACAGCAGGAGGAGGTGTAATAAGGTGGGACACTGACGGAGGTCTGGAAACGACGCAGGTGAGAACAGAGGACTGAATTTTGATGCTGCCACTAGAGGGACATTATCTTTCTTTCTGCTCCAACGGAAATGGTGACTCAGCTCTTTTCATGAAGGGAAAATCAGAAAATTCCCGTTTGTAGACTCGGGGTACTCGCTGTGGCCAGGAGGCACAATTACTCTGCAGCGTGAGGTGGAGCCAGCCCATGCAGGGCTTTGTAAATGATTAAGAGAATTTAAAAATCAATTCTGCAGTCGACGGGGAACCAGGGTAACGCACCGTGTCCTGTGTGACGTGCATCGCGTCTTAGACGAGCGTCCGGTCGAACTTGCTTTGGCGTGAAGAGGTGAAAAGTGTGGAATCAATGTTGATTATTTCTCTTGGGGGGGTAATGAAGGTTTAGATCAATGTTTTGTAGTTGAAACTAACTGTGTGGACGTGTTTGCACAGGACTGATCTTCAGGTTTATATTCCGGCAGCTCTTTGCTGCTGTATCTGACTTTGACAGGTCGATGAGTCCGTCCTCACTTTCATTTGAGCCGCAGCAGGAATGAAACAGCCATTATCTGTGCATCACCTCTTCTGCTGCAGCCATTACTGTAACTGGAGGTTAACGATTCATATTGAGCAGAGCTAACATGAGGGTAAACACAGCCGCTCCACCCCCCCACCCCCCTCGTCTACTGACGAACACTGAGCTCCAATGAAGCTCTGTGGACTCCGTTATGGCTCCGTGCTGCCATCTGGTGTCCACAATGCAAACTGAAGAATGTGTGTGTGTGTGTGTGTGTGCATTTTATTTTTCTTGATATGTTTATGTGTAAACAGGAACTTGATTAGACGTGTTGTTGGTTTGAGTCTCATCACAGGACCAGAGTTGTTTTTCATTCCACAGCGACTCTGACTGATCTTGAATCTGTTCTACATCCACAGACTCTGGAAAGTGCTGCGATGGGCGTGTCCTCCAGGAGTCCGGCTCCACCCCCCCCCCACTCCTCCAAATATGGTTACTTCTGGTTTCACCAAACCAAGATGGCGCTGAACACAATGTGAAACTGAGGCTTCAGAGCAGCAGCCACAGGTTTTAATGACCCTCAGCTCAGATTTGAATCACGAAGCTCTTGGTCAGAAAACTTTTTTAATTAACAAACACGGATCTTCAGCATCACATGAGGACTGTGATCGATTGGTTTCTACGTCACGGGAGCGTCCAGGTTTATCTGCCGCAGCTTTAACGAGGTGCTCTGCAGGGACGATACACCGGCTGCATGTTTCACTGTCAGTCTGAAATGTCTGTCTCCTCCAATCTTCTTCAGCAGCCACTCATTTAAAACATCGATGTGAGCGATCAGGCAGCACAGCCAGTGTCAGACGACCTTCCGCTCGTAAAATAAAGACTTGATTGATGGCTGGGTGCAGCGGTGGAGGAGTCACCGTCCTCCTCATTAACAGGTAGCAGTCAGGACAACAGAGTGTGAGCGCTGCTAAATTAAAACGGAGTGAGAGGGACGACGGAGAGCAAGAGGACAGAGCAGGAGGTTAACGAGCTGAGACTCGACGGAGCAGGAGTCTGTCCCGCTCCAGGTTCCTCAGCTGCCGGGACTTAAACACACGGGACAACATCCCCTCCTCCTTTCATTCATTCACGTGTGTTCATGACACAAACACAACGATCAAACCTCATACCCTGAACGTGTCGGGGGAGCTGAGGTGAAACTTCTGCCTGATGTCCTCGGACGCTCCGGCGCACAGTCGGTAGAAGATGTGGTAGTTTCTCTCCTCGTGGCTTTGTCGGCAGATCCTGGACTTCTCCAGCAGGTAGTGAGAAACGAAGCCGCCCACCACAGTGTTCTGACGGGATAAACAACAACATGTCCTGAATACACAATCACACACTTACACACGATGACCTCATATCCTGTTACTTATGTCAGGATTCATTACATTTGAAATGCGTTTAGATTCATAGAGTCTCAGGTTTCAGGTCCCAGAAACAACCAGGACGAGTGAGGCCTCATTACTGTTTCTGCTGTTTGAGCAGCTCACAGAGACTTTTGTGTTTATTCACCGTCGCTGTCACGCATCAAGTTTAGTTCAGGACGTTTTCATTGTTTGTCTCCAGATGAGACTTTTACAAACTCACACACAGAAGAAAAGTACCTTCTCATTAAAGTGGATTTCCACAAACTTTCCGAAGCGGCTGCTGTTGTTGTTCCGCACGGTTTTTGCGTTTCCGAAAGCCTCCAGCAGGGGGTTCGCTGTGGGACGAGAGAGGGACAACAAATTTAAAAGTTACAAAATGAAACTTTTCCACATTAAAATAAAAACAACCCAACCTGCTTTAAATCTGCAGTTGACTTGTGTCATTATATTTTCAAATCTGTAAAAATATGTAGTTTTCATCGAGGTAACTGTTTCATGTGGACGCATGTCTCATTTCTACAGTCAACGTTTTTAACTCTGTATCTGAAGCAGATGGAGGATTTTAGTCGTCAGACCTCTGGAGGCAGAAAGTGACATAGAAGTGAATCTTACCTTCCACTATTCTCTCGTCTATGTCCTGACCTGTTCCATACGAGGTCGTCAAGTATCTGAGAGGACAAACAACAGTTACATGTGAAGGGGGACGTGATTTTAACCCAAAATACATTTCAGGATTTCAGGATTTCTGTTTTCAAGGAACTAGTTTGAGACATTTTTTGATTAAATTGAATATAAAACCAACACTGCTGTGGAAACAGACACGTTCAAAATATTATTACTCCTCTTCACGTGACCATTTTACTACAAATCAAACTCACACAATTTATAGTGTTTGACGGAACTAAGTCAAAGTCATTCCTCTGAACCTCGTGAGTCTCATGTTGCAGCATCGTCCTCACCTGAGCACAAACTTGGTGTTTTCTGTCTTTCCGGCTCCGGACTCCCCTGAGACAACGATGGACTGGCTCATCTTCAGCACCTTCATGTCCCTGTACGCCTTATCAGCTGAGACACACACAGACAGATTAGATTAGACGAGGACGCACGCCTGACCCCGGGGATCCAGCAAATATCAAGCTCCAACACTGAGCTTTCGCTTTTCACCAGAATATGAAGGTGAAAAGTCGGAAAGCAGGTGAATCAGTCAAGAACAGAAAGTAGAAAATAAGTGATGTCAGGTGATAACTCATCTATATTAGACTGTTTGGCAAAATGAAGCAATTCAGCCTCAAGCAAAATGTAATAATCTGAACCTGCAGGAATAAAAAGTGAAACTGTTTTGATCTCAATTTGCATTCACTCACCGATGGCGTACACGTGCGGCGGCAGCGTGCCCAGAGACCGGCCCCGGTACTGCTTGATGGTCTCCGGCGAGTAAAGCTTTGGGATGTCATAGTACGGGTTCACCGCGATCAGGATGTTGGCTACGAACGTCTGGAGGGAGGAGATTTATTTAAAACCAACAACCTTCAGGTGATAACGGCATCTTCTCAAACGAATCACATTCCTTTTAGTCCAGCAGTTGTTTAATCTTCCCCTCGACCTGCCGAGTGAATTTCCCCTGGTCATAAACTACATTTCCCAGAATCCCAAAGCAGCAAGGCGTTAAATTCCAGCACTAACTAGCTGTGAGAGTGAAATCAGGCCTCATTACTTCAGAAGTGAAGCGTTGGCAGCATCGTAATTCAAAGATTTTTGGTCAGTGGTTTATATCACATGTGTTATCTGATGTAGTGCTACAGACCCAGAGTCAGCTCCTTCTTCAGCCACTAGATGTGGCTAGAGTCTGACTCTTTTCATCAGCTGCTAATCTCAAATAAATCTGTTTCTATAGAATGAGACAAAAGGTCAGTGAAACTATTATTATCATGAAAAGTGACTCTGTTAGTCTGGAGGACACGCGTCCTTTGAGTGAGGACATTCTGGAAACAAAGACATTTCTTTAGAAACATGAGGACATTCTATCTGCTCAGAGAAACATGTGACGTGAGACTTCATCAAACTGTGTCTGTAACTTTTCTCTGAGAGAAAATGTAAAGTTCACTCTGTTCAGTAACTTCACACTGCGGACGAGTTCACTTACGTAGATTTTGTCTTTGCTGTATCTCACTCGAACATTGTTGAGCAGAGTTGCTTCGTTCAGGTACATCAGAGAACCTGCGGCGCAAAGACGACAGGAACAAGGTTACAGAGACAAACATGCAACGTGGAGCTGGAACGCACAAGAACACACATCATGCATCTTTCTGCTGAATTTACTTTCATCAATCTCAGACATGAGAGAAACAGTTTGTTGGTGTAAAGACACAGCGAGACTCACAGTTGTCCTCCACGTGTTTGTTGACGTCATCTTCTGCAGGAAAGACCTGGTTGATCTGAGCCAGAAACGTCTGCGAGAGGAAAAGAAATGAAGATGGAGAATAAAGCTGAACGTCAGGCGACATGAAATCAACACAGAAACTTTAAAGCGTCAGGGTTTGTTCTTGGGAATGAAACATGAACCGATGCTGTTTTTAATATGAAACTGATCATTTAACACATCTTGAAATTATTGAAACGTGACTTCAGCCACATCCTTTTCATTCTTTCTCGCTGATCTCTCATTATTTCAGATTAGAGTCTGGTGTCCAGAGGCCGAATGAAGCAGCTGCTGCTCGACACGTGAAGACCTGATGAATTATTTGGAGGAAACAGGATCAGACTGGACAGAGACGACACAGGGACGGAGACACGGAGAGGACGGTCAACGCGTCCACAGCAGACAGCCGCCGCTCTGCATTATTTACCACCCGGGACAGATATAGAATTTTATTCTGATGTTTCATTAGAAACGAGTTCATCAGGTCAGAGATCCAGAAGAACCAGGCTGTGGAAAGTCAACATTTTGTCTTGTGAAGCACTTTGTAACTTTGTTTCTATATAAATAAAGTTTATTTTACTGTTATTATTGTGAGGATCTGACATTTCCTCTAAAAGCTCGGAGGTATTAGCTCGCCACACGTTTCACATTCCTCCAGTTAAAACCACGTTGAACTAATACACGAGGGGGTTTATGAGGACACATGACCTGGTGTTGGAGCCCCGAGGGTCAGTTGTATTTCTGTGATCAGCTCCTGTCGGCTCCAGCGAGGCCGAGCCGTTTAAAGGGCCCAATCTAAGAGGCGCTGCCGCTGGGCCTCCGCTACGTCAGGGCCACGGTGCCATGGTGACGTACGGGCGATTCATTCTTTCCAGTGGTGGCATGTTCCACATTCTCAGCCCAAACTGGACGGAATCCACAACGCTGCGCCGCGTGAGGAGAAGGGGGGGGGGGGGG